ATGCTATGTTCCGCATGGACACTTATCTTGCTCAGATCTTTAAAGAGAAAAAGAATCAGGCAGGTAGAGAAACTGCTCAGTCCCAGCTTGTCCTCTTCAAACTCCGAGTTCTTTCACTTCTGGAAATTTTGCATGAAAATCGAGGCAAGTGTTACCACTTTACCTTTTGTGAACTGTGAGATGCCTCCTATGATGATTATTTGCTGCCAAGTTCATTATGTGGCATTTTCTATCGGTTTCGTCTATTTGTTATTGTGCGAGCTTAGAAATTTTAATTTTTGTGATCTGAACTTCATTCAAGAAGTGTTTCTTTTTTTTATGTACAATATTCTTAGAATTGTATGTTTATGATCTTTCCAATTCAGGTAAGCCTCAGGTCCTGACAGTCTACTCGAACCTGGCTCAGGCATTTGTGAATCCACATACTACAGAAGGCAGTGAACAACTCGGACAGCGTATATGGGGAATTATTCAAAGAAAGGTATTCAAAGAAAAGAAGTTGCCGAAGAATGAATCCGTGCCGCTGTCTACTCTTGAATCTCTGTTGGAGAAAAACTTGAAGTTGGCATCAAAACCATTCAAGAGAAAGAAATCCGCAAGCACTGTATCCAAGAAGAAGCTGACAGCCTCTTTGAACAGATACAAAATGGTTGTTTCGCTTGCTCAGAATTCAACATACTGGATATTGAAGATCATTGAAGCAAGAAATTTATCAGATGCAAAGTTGCAGGGAGTTTTTGGTCTCTTACAAACAATTCCAGAAGGGTATTTTGAGAGTAAAAAGTTTCAACATACTGGGTTCTTGAAAGAAATATTTAGAAGAAATCCTAGGATTGGTCATCAACTCTTAGGCTTTCTGTTAGAAAACTGTGGCAATGCAGAATCGGACTTCCGACGGGTCGAGGCTCTTGATTTGGTGATTGAAGTATTGCAGAGTCTGGGTCATCTTTTAGAGACATTGGTGACGAAAATGCCCGAAAAGAAGTCTAGAAAAACCGAAGTGCATAAATGTTATGAAAAGATGTTCCAGATGATAACATCAGTAGACTTAACCAAGGCTTTTCTGAAATGTTTGGGACCCGACACCTTTTCTGCTTGCGAGTCTCAACTCGGTTCCGTTTTTCTCAAGTTGACGAATCTCAAATGAGAGAGGCAGCTATCAGATAAATCAATATTTGTGGAAACAGGTTACCAAGGAATCCTGATTTTGGCTTTGGCTTTCCTGTGGTGCTTGTTATCACAGTAGCCATGCAACTCCGTATGGCTTATTTGCTGTTGAAGCCCCATAGATAGGTGAGATTCAAAAATTGTGAAATAGTTTTAGCATTATTGGTCACAGTGGGTGATAATTTGTTGACATGCAGGCTTAATTTTCCCAATAAACTGAGGGACTTTCTTGAGCATCCTCCTTTTCTTTATTTATATGTTCTGCTGAAACACGTCTCCATGCGTATAATACAGGAAACTTATGTACAACAAAAACAATTAGGCTTGCAGAGATATTATTCATCACTAGTAGATCTTAGAGCATTAAGAATTCATCACTAGAATGGAATTAAGGTTTCGATAAGAAAAAAAGTGTGGGGTTTTAAGGTCCTCCTTGTCAAAATCTGGTTTTTCAAGAACAATTTCTCGATAGATCTAATAGGAAAAGGAAATTGATTTCTCAGAAGAAGAAAAAAGTTGAAGAAATCCCATCTCCAACGTCTATTGATGTTAACGTGAAGATTATAAGGATTCTTTTAATAAAAAAAATCATTTAATTTATATTTTTATATCGAACGATCACATTTTATGACATTTTTTTTTTATAATTAGAAGCTATTTAAATATTTCACCTTTTAAAAAAAATCAGAATTCGGTGGAACTTGCAATCATGATTTATGGCCTGGGCAAAGTCCCTGTCTTATAGCTTTTGAGTTGGCAGTTCATCAATTACTTTCCAGATATGATCAAAATCTGTATAGGTTTCACTTTCAATCTGTCATCCATCATTTCCCAACCTCCCTTGCATGTTACGAAATCTCCCTTGTTTTTTTTTTTCAAGAAAAGGTCCGGAATTTGAGTGAGTTGCCATGCCATACAAAGAATGCTTCCCAACCACCATTGATTCAATCGTAAAATTGCCTCTATTGTTGCTGCTGCTGCTGAGAATCATGTATCCCCTTTTTCAGGGTTAATGCCAACACAAAAGTATTTCCCCCACCATCTATATTCCACCAAACCCCCAACCTCTTTTTCACTCAAATCCTCCTTTCAACCAAGAGCGCAACCATTACAATTCACACAAGAGCCACCCCCCCCCGCCACCACACCCTGTACATCAACACAAAAATACAAGGGGGAAAAAAGCTTCATTTCTTACCATCTAAAGACTATTTGGAATCCAAGTCTATTTTTTTTCAGTATGTTAGCAATATCGTTAACTCCGAGAATAATATGAAGAATATAATAGTGATAAATAATATCAAATATCATTATTTTATAAATAAATAAAAATTACTTGAAAGAAAAATACTCTTTTCTTGATTGATATTTTGATCAGAAACAGTTGAGGCATGTCACTACACAGTTTCCTTAAGACATATTTTCGGCCACTTGGTGCTCGAGATCGTTGGTATCCTGTCTCCCAAGATACAACAACTAGATGATCAGCTTAGAGATCACAAATTATCCTTGCCTCCGACTAATATCTTTCAATATTCAAATTTAAACATATAATGACATCTTTTAATTTAAAATATTCAAAAGATATAAATTCATTTTACTATACAAATTTAAATAGATATTATTTTAATTTAAAATATTCAAAAGGATATAATTAATTTTAATATTTAAATTTAAATAGGTAACAAATACCTTTAAATGTGATATATTCAAAGAATAAATATCTTATTAATATTTAAATTAAAATTATCTTTTAATTTATAATATTCAAAAGATACATAAATTTAATTTAAATATTAAATTCATCAATAAAATTCATTTATTTTCTAACATTATGTTGCGGTGTCCACCTACCCACCTACCCAACCACTTCGGCTGACCCAATAATTTTGACTGTTTTATACACAGCTGTTGTTTATTTCATATAACAATCATACACAAAGCATATATATTTATATATTGTCTTTTTGTGTACGGTTGATGGATATTCACAGAGTGTGGGTCATCTTTCAGAGACATTGGTGACGAGAATGCCCGAAAAGAAGTGTAGAAAATGTTGTGAAAAGATCAGTAGACTTGACCAAGGCTTTTCTGAAATGTTTGACACCCGACACCGTTTCTGCTTGCAAGTTGAAGAATCTCAAATGAGAGAGGCAGCTATCAAGGTAAACCAATATTTGTGGAAACAGCTTACCAAGGATTCCTGATTTTGGCTTTTGCCTTCTATGGTGCTTGTTCTTATAGTAACCCAACTATTGCCACTGGTGAGATTCAAAATTTGTCAATTAGTTTTTGCATTTTGTTGTTAATTTACCCGATAAACTCAGCTATTTTGTTCATCCTTTTTCTGTAACTTATCTGCTTAATCAACGATAGCTGCATCTTTTGTTTCTGACTTGGCTTTCAATAAATTGTCTCTATCACCGCTTTCCAATCCATTTTCATCTCTTGAGAGCAGGCTCATCGGTTCAACTCTCCAGTTGTATCGTATTCAGATTATCTGAATTTATTAATGGATTTTTCTAGTTTGAATCTTCTTCAGTTCATGTCATTGTTTAAGAACACTTCTTTTCACTCATTTTTTTCTGAAAAAAAGAAAGAAGTTGTTTTCTTTTGGTTCTCTCTTAAAAAATATGGATTTGTTCCTTGATTCTCAGTTTTCATTGTGATTATTGATCTGGGTGTTAAGCAATCTTCTACATTTTGCACCTTTTTTTAATGAAAACGCCAAGAGATTATTATGGAGAAAAAGCAGTGTTAATGTATCTTTCAATAGTATTCCATCGAATTCACCTCCAAAGCTGAATCTTTTAAAGGTGAATTTGCCTAATCATTCAACTTTGGCATCATTTTCTACTGACACTAGATTTGCTGAGAAAGTCGCTGGATTTTCATGTTTTAATGGCTTGAATGAATCCATTTATGGGTTCTTGTAAGCTTTCGGGTAACTAATTCATCAAAGTTAATGGATCTTAGAGCACTAAGAATTCATCACTAGAATGAAATTCAGGTTTCGAAAAGAAACAGTGTGGGGTTTTAAGTCTGTTCCTGTCAAAGAATGCAAGACCTGGTATTCCTTAGAATCAATCTTCAATTTCTCGATAGACCTGTGTCCAAAACGATGCCTGTAAGAGGAAAAGGAAATCGATTCCTTAGAAAATGAATAAATAATAGAAATCCCAGCACCAACGTGTTGAAAAAAAAAAGGAGATGAGAGGGTAAAAATTGTGGAGATAATGCGGTCCATCTGCTCCATTCATTTTTCTTATGTTATTGTTTAAAAGTCAAAACATCCTATTTGAGAAAATAACTCCTCCCATACCTCAGATGATAAATTCTTTTTTTCCATCACATTATAAGCCCCAAATGTACCAGATAACAGTGTTTCAACTTTAAAAGGTTGTCAAGTTGTTGGTGGGTAAAAGATTAAAATTAAACTAAACTAAAATATAAAATTTAATAATATATGAATTTTATTGATTACTATATGCTTATGTTTTTATAAATGGAATGATCATATTATTATTTTATAATTAGAAGCTATTTAAATATTTCAGCTTTTTAAATTTATGTAAGAATTCGGTGGAAGTTGCAATCATGGATTTTGCCATAGGCGAAGTCCCACATTTAGCCTATTGAGATGGCAGTTCATCGATTACTTTCCAGATATGATCAAAATCTTCACAATCTGTCATATCCCAATCCTCCATTGCAAATATGTTTTAGAAAAAAGGGCCTGAGAGTTGCCAAAACTATACAAAGCATGCTTGCCAACAACCATTGATTCAATTGTAGAATTGCCTCTATTGTTTGATGCCGAGAATCATGTATCCCCCCCCCCCTTTTTCAGGGTTAATGCCAATGCTACCCATATTCCACCAAACTCTCTTCACTGCAATTCCCCCCACTAAAGAGAGCAACCATTACAATTCACACGACATTAAAACGACCCCCCAACCCTGTACATCCACAAAAAAATATAAGGGGGAAATGGTTCAATTCTGCAGGCATTCAACACTATTTGGAATCCACATCTATTCTTTTCAGTATGTTAGCCAACTCTACCCTCATCTACACCCCCAACCCTTGATTGCCCCCAAAATCTCACTTCACAAGCTTCAAAATCAATAGCTCATCCTTCTAAGATCGAGCATCATCGGCATCCGATTCACTTCCTGAAGAACTCCCAGAATCTGAACCTGTAAAAATAACATTACAAGATAAGGATTTCCTCTTTTATTCCTTTATCCATGAACACTCATTCTAAAACCTCCAGACGTGTAGAGACATACCACTTGAAGATGACGAATCACTACTCGAACTACTGGAGCTGCTAGAACTACTACTAGCACCAACATTATCCTTCTCAATCTCCACGGGTGGGAAACTACTCGTTGGCATTTCATCCCCAATATCGACATCTTCCTCTCCGGCGTCAACTTTCTTTGGCTTCTTCATCTCCATTGGAACCTCAATCTTCTCGGTAGTTGCCTCTTCCTGCATTTTCAGATCAGAACAACCATAAATTCGTACCATAAAGTAAAAAATTGTTTGTGTACTCATCAAGCAATCACAATGTGCTTAGTGCTTACCCTATGGCTGTCATTAGATACTGCATTGTTTGCCATCAATGCTTGCCGCTTCATCTTGCTGACCATCTTCTTGTAATTAGTGACAAACCGGTCCAACTCCCACAACGTCTCTGTATCCATTGCCTCAATATCAAGTTCAATCTCATCACCGTCCTGCCTCAAATGCCCATTCCTTTTCCTTATAATCTGAACTATATTATCCATCTTCTCCTGCGGTAAACTCTGCAATCCCATCCCCAACTTTTGCTTCTCCTCCGTACTCATTTCCCTCTTGTTTGGATCCTTGGCCTTTGGCTTCGGCTGCTTCAATGGCTTCAACGGTGGCGGCCTTACCGGTGAAGCCACCCTGGCTGGCGCCTGCAGTTGCAACTGAGGTGGCGGTGGTGGATTCGAGCTTGAAACAAATCCAGGAAACCCTCCATTTCTATCAGATCTTGCAACAAAATTAGCTGAATCTGCTCGATCAACCATTATCCCCTCATCCTCCATTTCCCCATCTCTCTTCAACCAATCGGCTTCATCATGATCCCAAGAACTCGCCTGCAACTTTTCCTCGTAATAATCCCTTTTGTGTGGCTCGTCTTGCTGCTCCAATTTCAAGCTCAACGGCCGAAACAACTCCTCAAATCTTGCAAGTAATTGCTCAGCCAACGCATAAACCTCGTGTCCCTTAGGGTTATACAACATGGCGTTATTGAAAGTGAGCCTCACATCCGCCGCAAATTCCAATGGAGACTCGTAAAAATTCTTTCCCATCCTCGATTTCACCGTGCCTAGATCCATCGGTTTCTTGATTATATTGTAATAATCATGAAGACCCATTCCGACCACATCCACCGGCGAATTAAAGATGTACCCATGCTTGTTTTTCATCAATTTGTTCAAGATTTGGGAACAACTTTTCATCAATTGACCCGTTGATACTTTCCCATTCTCTTGAGGGTCTAATCTCTGCAATTCTTTGCTGAAATTTGAAGGGAAAGGCCGTTTGTTTCCAGAAATGTTCTTCTTGGATAACGCTTTCTTGTTGGAGCTGGATCTAACACAAGAATCATTCGACTCAATTTGATTCCTCAATTCACGAATCTGCTCCAACTCGGTAACCAACTGAATTTTCAGATCAATCAACTCTTTCCTCGAATAAGAGCTGACACGGAAGCTGACGTAGACGCCGGAGTTAAAATCGCTCAGCTTCCGATTAATTGACGATGCATCATCAGAAGCTATGAATTGGGTCACGGCTGGAGAATCATCGACGACATGGCCAGCAACGTCATCGGGTGGAGCCAAATGATGGTGAAATTGACGCTTCTTGTTGAATTTAGGGTTATGGTTTGGTTTTGTTCCTTTTGAGGGAACCTTGCCCATGAATTTGGCGATACTCCCTTTCGGCTGCGATGGCCAATTTGAATCGCTTCGATTCACTAAAATGGCGGATGCCATCAAATTATCGGGAGCCGGTAGAGTTCCGGCGAGGGATTCCCGATTCGGATCGACAGAGCAAAACCATGAAAGGAATAGCGTTACCAACACGCGACACCTGAATAACTGCCACGCGCCGACTGAAGTAGTGTGGCCAGGAATTTGAAACGAAAAAAGCCTGTAAATTATTTTTTCTCTTGGAGAAAAGGAGAAAAATATGTAAAGATTAGGTTTGGGATCTACCCGAGTGAGGAACTATGGAAGCCTAGGCTCGGTTCTTAAAGGCGATGAGGTCTGCCCGTTTGAGTTTAGGGCAATGTTCTGAGCGTTAGATAAAATCCTTCTGTTGATCAAAGGGTTGCTAGTGGCTTGAAAGGTGACAAGGGACCTGCCCGTGTAGTCTGGCGTGAACGGTGGGGATGGGGAGATGTGTACACGTGTAAGGAGATAAACCGTGGATGGGGATCGTAGATTTGTGGGTGAATTTGGGGTGCATGTGGAGTGAATTTAGGGTTTTGAAGTGGAGGGTGCGGCCCCCTACCATCCGGCTTTAGCCGGAAGCCACACGGCATGTGTGTTTTCCAAAAATGAAGGGTAATATTGTAAATACCTATTATATATATGTTAATTGATAGATGATCATTATATTAAGCAAATCAGACGGCCCCATTCCCTAAAAATGTCTTCGAATCAGGTGTTCAACTACTCTCCGAGTTTCCAAAAATACCTTTTTCTTAAATATTTTAAGGTAAATTATAGTTGTAATTATTTAATTGTAAGGAGATTTTAATTTAATAAGTGATCTTTTAATTTTATTAATTAAATTATTTAATTATTTAAATGATCCCAATCAATTATCTATTATTGATATTTAATGAAAAAATTAACGTTATAACAAATAAAATTAAAATAATTATATTTTTAGTTCTTATTATTTAGATATTCTATTAATTTGATTTTACTCTTAATTTAACTTTATGAATTTTCGTCCGATCAGACCTAGAACCTGAAGGAGGATAGAGCACACTTACTACTAGGCCAAATCTTATATTTTTGATGTCGATTATAATATTATATATATTTATATATCTCATTGTGTTGTTAATAACAGGAGATCAAAAATATAAAAATGAGCAAGGGTAAATTCGAATCCAAGTCAATTGGAGAGTATAAGAATACCTAAATCACCAAATCAAATCTAATAATTAAGTTTTAATTGAATAAATTTTATATATATTTTAAATTGTAATTAATATAAGATTAAAAGTAAAATTGTACCTAAATCATATATATATATATATATATATTAATTGTATATAGAAGGGTCATCATTGTCTCTATAATACTCAATCTGGATTAATCGATTAATAAATTGGATATTGATTGTTATACCAAAAAACTAAAATTTTATTAATATTTTTAAACTAAAATTAATATTTTTTTTCTTTTCCATTATTTTTTTATATATATAGTTATATTAAAATTTATTTACTAAACTCAAATTCACTGACTAAACTCAAGTCACAAGTTAAATTTGTATTTTAAATTTTAAATTTTTGCTACCAAAAAATTCTTTGAGAATTATTTCTCAATCACTTACAGTCAATTTTAATTATGTTAATGTTATAACTTAAATTATAATTCTTTGATATTATATATAATTTAATTGTATTACTATTAGTATAATATATAAGAGAATGTGAAATGAAAATATTTAAACGCATAATATTTTTTATTTATGAGTGAAGAGTAGTTTCATAATGTATCAAAAATTTAAAACATGTAATAAAATTTTATTTTATGTATTGACATTGAGATAAAAAAAATTGACAAGTGAGATTGTGATGTCATAATATGGTTCATTTTTAAAAAATTTAATAAATTAAGAGATGCATAATAAGATTATAATTTTTTATTTTATTATTGGTGTATAAAATAAGAACCGACATATATTATATTAATTATATAGTATTTTGGATATGATATATTTAGAGTGATTGCGATGAATTTTATATATAAACCCTAAAATAAAGATAAATCATAAAAAAAATTAGGATAAAGTATATAAATGGTCTCATCACTATATGGTGTTATTTTGTTGAGTCATCGACTATTATAAGTTATAAAATGACCATCTGATTATAGTGTTGTTTTATTGAGTCACTCGATTATTAAAAGTTATAAAATGGCTAGTTGACTATTCATATATTCCAAATTCTTCATTTTTTATTAATAAATTGACGGTTGTTTGAGTTGGACGTTAATTTGTTAACTATGATATGATAAAATCAGATCTCAAAACCGTTTGAGTTATATTTTGTAGATCGTCTCTTCGTTTATATTATGATGTTGAGATAGTACTTGAAACATTATGTCGTCAAGTCAGTGCTTTGAAGCAACAACGGTTACAATAAACATCATTAAAATATAATTTTATCATATCCTAATCAACAAGTTAACATTCAACTTAGACGACCGTCAATTTTTAAAGAAAAATGATTAGTTTGGAACATATAAATAGTTAGGTTACCATTTTATAACTTTTAATAGTCAGTGACTCAACAAAACAACATCATCTAATTGATGAACTATTTTGTTACTTTTAATAGTTAAAAAACTCAATAAAATAATGTCATATAGTTGAGATATCATTTGTATACTTTACCTAAAATATTAATCACATAATTATTAAATGTTATGTATGAATTAAAGTAGTTGTATAATAATTTAGAAATGACATTTTAGGGTGCAAAACGACACCGAATTGACAAGCAATTAGTAGAGAGTAAGGGCAAAACTGGTGGGTCCCAAGGTTGATTTTGGTGGGGATCAACATTGCAATTGGCGGAAACTAAACTTTGGAAGGGTAAATCAGGAATTTTATCCGCGTTACGATCTCAAGTGTTCAAATTTTTATTACATTGCACGTGAGAAATACTAATAAATTGTCAAATTGGAGCCGATGGATTATTAATTTAATCCGTTAAGGTGCTTAATCTATGCTTTTTTTTTAATTTAGTGTCTAACGTTTATTTCGTTTCAGTTTAGTATATAATATTTTATTCCATTAATCAAGATAGTTTAAGTCGTGATGGACCATTAACTTCTTCCGTTAAGTGAAACATGTCAAAATATAATAATTTTAAAAAAAAGTATATAAAATTTAAAAAATAAAATTATATATTATATAGAAAAAAACACATAAATTTTGAAGTAACCCCAAAACTTTGAAAACCTTCAGTTCAACCCCTAAATCCACACCGACCACTGCCCTTTGCCATCGACGAAGCTCCACCCGACCTTACCTCAACTCAGTGACCAAAATCCCTTTGAAATTGTGACCGATAAACGATCGATCAACAGTGAATCGACATTTTATACCCCGCGAACCGTATGGTGAAAATCGCAATCCCAAGCGATTTTGACGACCAATCGACGACAACTACAATGACTTATAACTAGGATGATGATAAGGATTACGTTGACGACGGTGATCGTGGCCGGAAAGAGCGGCAGTCGGGGGTTAGTATTAGGATTTGAGAATTTTATGGATTTGAGTTTTTTTTTGTAATTTAAAAGAAATGAAGCTTTTTATAAATATAATAATATTTTTAATATTAAAAAAACAAATTTTAAAATTGCGAGATTGTGATATGTGTCACTTAACGGAGAAAACTAACGGTCTGTTACGGGTTTACCCATTTTGAGTAACAAAATGAAATGTTAGACACCAAACTAGAACGAAATAAACGTTAGACACTAAATAAAAAAAACGAGCATAAGTTGGGCACATTTTGTATATTTAAGCCTTTTTAAATGATAACTCGAGAGATATCATATGTATATTTAAATAAAAATTGTGGCATGAACCGCTGTGATCTCAGTGGTGAATGAATTGTTGTTGTTCTTTGAGGTATTGCATTTGAGCACCGACAATGTCAATGGTACGAGCGATTAATTTTAAATGGATTAGAATTATCTTTAGACAAATACTATATTTTACTTACATCATATTAATAAAAAAATAAAAAATGTGTATAAGGCTTCGTAACAAGTAAAATAAAAAATACTACATTCTAAAGGTTTGTGTTTTAACCCCCAAAAAGAGTATTATTATTATTATTATTTATGTCAGAAAAAGACTTTGCTGTATGAACTTTATATAATGGCATTGATTAATATTTTATTAAGTTCATTATTATTATTATTTATGTAAAAAAAAGTTCATTAGTGCAAGTGCTTTGAATGGGGAAACTTCATATTATGTTTTTATTATACAGATGAGAAGCTAGCTTTTTGGGAGGAAAAATCTAATCATAAAATTGTATTTTTTTAATGGTGTTATATTTCTTTCGTAAATTATATTTTTGATATCACCTTTTTTATATATGTATATATTTTTATTGTTGTTTTTCCGTACAGAGATTTTAAGATTTTCATAGGTTTTTTAAGATATTTTATGACACACTCAAAAATAATCCATAATTTCTTTTACTTAGTTATAATCCCTCGACATGAACGATGTCACTCCTATTACCAATTAAATGTACTATTTGATAGTTAGATCTATCCCCTTATCAACCTATCAATAACCATCAATCTTAAGATCAACAATATTCATCCTACTATTTAGGGCACAAACAAAACTTAAGGGGGGAATCTTTAATCCCACATCTACTATTCATCATGTTCTTTTTTCTTTTTCTTTTCTCTCTCCATTCGCTCAATCAATTATAATTCTTGGTCTAATCCAAAAAGAATGAACCATATATGACTACCATCAGGATCCCTATGGACTCTAATCACACCATCTTGTGTTTCTTATTCCATGGTTCAACAATGACCTTTTGTTGGTCGATGCGTTATGTTTATGGCATCAAGCTTTTAATTGTACATTAAATTGCTGAAAAAAAGATAGTTTTATGTGGGGTGGGGATGGGGGGTTTGTCGTCACAAATTTGCTTGAATTGTAAGAGATTTAGGGTCATCCATTGTTGTTGGAGCCACCTACTGCTAAGTGGCGAGCCATCAAAGGCCATTTCTACTGTCTAAAATGATTGAATGGTGTGTCTTGGATCTTCAACAAGTCTTCCTGTATATATATATATATATATATATATATATATGATTGGATGTTAGTCCTTTATCGTGATCAGTGGGTCAATCCACGTTATCTGCACCTTTGTTGTTGATAGCTCAACAATCACATAAACATGTCACAATCTAGCCCTTCTTTTCG